AGTAGACGTCTTACATGCCACCTTTCGAAGCAGGGAGCGATTAATAAAAATTTATGAACTCATAATTTACAAGAACCTTTAAGGATAAGTATAGTCGATAACACAAAGATTCTTTTCAAATCACATAGTCGTACACAACTCATCATTAGGGAAGCATTACTGATTAAATACTATTCTCCCACTATCACTCTTACACTATTTAGCAGGGGAGACGGCGTGTTAAAGATGTTCTAAAAATAGAAGTGATGCTCAGATCATCCGGTCGCGCATAATACATGGCTGCCAAAAAAAAAAAAAGGATACACTAAACCCGCACGTACACCACACAGCTAAACTACTATGTAGAATCAACACACAAAAATTCGCCATCCAAAAACAACGTCCTTGATAATGGCTACAGAACTAGCACTCGGAACGATTATAATTATGGGCAATATATATATTCTTTAACCCCTGAAAAACGAAAAATGTTAGAATGCTGGAAAAACTCAATAAAAGATTAATTAAATCTTCCGTTCACAATGAAATATATATATATATATATATATATATATATATATATATATATATATATATATATATGTGTGTGTGTCTGTGTATCTGTGTGTGTGTCTGTGTTGGCACCGCGTGTGTGTAAAATTTCAAATCGTATATATCGGTAAAGGACAACCTGAACAAAGATAAAAAGATTTAGCTGATGCGTTTGGTCTTTGATAAAGTCCCTTAGAGGGCGAAACGCATCGGCTAAGACAAGTTTTATCTATCTATCTATCTATCTATCTATCTATCTATCTATCTATCTATCTATCTATCTATCTATATAGATAGATAGATAGATAGATAGATAGATAGATAGCTATACAAGGTGTAACAGCAAAATTGTTCAAATCGTGTAACAGCATGGGAAAATTGTCTACCCCCAAATATGTTTAATATCTAAAAAGCCGGTAAACTATTCGAGTTTCTTTTCTCCAGGGTTTCAGATAAGACGTTTAGCCACCGTGACACCAATTGCCGTAAGAATCACAGAAAAACCCTTTGAGTTACTCAGCTAGAAAGAGAACAGGCTAAAATCGTTTTGTGTCGGCCCAATTTTCTTCCCAAATGAGCAATGGTGAAAGGAAAAAGATCATTCAGACCTTCAGTAATGTTACCAACATTCATACTACGGCTTCCTTCTTCAAAGTCCATTCAAGAACAACCAAGGCGACGGTGGATAATTTAAAAAAAGAGGGAACAGTAGAAAGGAAAACTGGATGACGAGGTCACAGCAACATGAGGGATTTTAGAACTAAGTACATTCTCATTGTTCAAAGTAGAGCCCAATAGTTTTCTAAAACCTGGGAGAATTCCAGTAAGATATCTTTAATCATTTCTAAGAAACAACGGTTCAAAGCTTAATATAACAAGTGGACAGTTTTGTTGTTACAACTGGTATGTATATATCAAGTGGCGATAGTTTTACGCTTGAACGTAATTTGAGTTCAAGCATGAAGCAGATTTTCACCTCTCGTTATTGAACTCAGTGCCCATTTTTATATTTAACAGATGCTCTATCTCTGATATTGAACACCTTTATCCATAAATATAGCACGCCTTCAACCTATATTTTTTATCATAAAATCTACAAGAGGCCTATGTTTTTCAGAGCAAATAGTATATATATATATATATATATATATATATATATATATATATATATATATAAGTGAACATTGAAGTCAACACCCAGGGGCGACAATCTGTTTTCATGCTAAACGATTGCATCCAGCATGAAAGAGCCTGTCACCTCCGAGTGCTGACTTCAATGTTCATTCTATTTAAAATTACATGCGCTCTATCTCTGATATTGAGCACTTTATCTCATAAATGTAGCACACTTTAAATCTATATTTCTGCATATATATATATATATATATATATATATATATATATATATATATAATGATAAATTATGTTATTAACCGTAACTAATGTAGAAATAATAACATCAAAAGCATTCATTCATTTAAGCCTTCTATAGTTAGTTCTAGATTTTAAAAATATAATGAAAAATAAGAAAAGAGACTTCGACATCGAATGACCTGGCAAGGGTTGCAATGTCATTAAATCGACGAACCTTCATCTGAGCTAATCAACATCATTTTTTCTCATTTTCTATCACATTCAGTAACCACTTGCGTTTTAGTGTGTTTTTTCGCCTTGCTAGGGCTGAACACATTAAAAAAAACAACAGTTTCTTAACTAAGTTATCGAAAACACCACAACAGGCCAGGATAAATATACAATGAAATTACCACTCCGTAAACTTCAAGACATATCGCGTAGCCGCCGTTATTTAGTTTAGGCAATCGTCTCTAATTTTTACGCTTCAGTTCTTAAGTTTTTCTTTCTCTATATCTCTCTCTATATGTATATATACATATACATGCATACATACATACACACACACACATATATATATATATATATATATATATATATATATATATATATATATATATATATATATATATATATATATATATATATATATATATATATATATATATATATATATATATATATATTATATTTGTTTGGATGTGAGTTTGTGACCCTGGGTTTCACGCTTTAGCGATAGTTTGTCTGACGATCGCTAAAGCGTGAAACCAAGGTCAAAACCTCATCTATCCAACCAAATATGTTAGCTCTATCTCTGATATTGAGCGCTTTCTAATAAGTACCCTTGCATATAATATATAAATAATTATACATATATATATTTATTTATATTTATATACACTTTTTCACACACACACATATATATATATATATATATATATATATATATATATATATATATATATATATATATATACGATAGGATAAGGAATAAATAGGAAACGTTTATAAATTTAGTATGTTTCACTTTAATTTAAACTGCATTTTAATTAAAAAATCTTGATGGAGGTTAAATGAAAGCGATACATGTTAAATTAATAAACGTATCATATTTATTCCTTATCCTATCATTGTTGAATCCATATTTGATACCAATTTATATATATATATATATATATATA